GGGGGGGAGGGAGAGGAAGATTGGAGACCGCGTCGATAAGGCTGCAGATGTTATCCGCGAAATTCAAGGTCCCTCTATCTCCGACGAGAACGAAAACGTGGCCAACTAAACATTGGCCTAACTAAAAATACGACGACCTTGGTACGCCACTCACGTTCCTGCCACTCACTCTCCACGAATCATTAGATACATTAAATTATATCTCGCCAGTTCGCGCACCGATCGAAAGGCAATCGCGATGGTACTTTTTGGACTGATAGATTTCTTTTTCCTTTCCGTTTTATTTTCTTTCCTTTACTAATTTCGGTATAAAGAATGTCTTGCGACACAGCACGGCGCTCGCTTGCTGTTGACCGATAGAATTTATGTCGCTTGTAGAGAAAGAGAGAGACAGAAAGAGAGAGCAGCGAAACGTCTTTTCACGACTCGTCGGACGTAGATCTCTTATTGTTAGATTCAGACATATTATTTGTAACACTTGCAGGAGTTTCAAAAGCATTAGCAATGCCTTCGGTGTGAAAGAATGAGAATATTGTTCGCTAATTATGCGTGTTGCATAATTTTGTTTGGAATATTTCAAAATGTCTTGAGGACAGAGGCATATATTAATTTTAACAGTATTCAATAAATTAGTTGTCATTATTTGACAACTCCGCGTCTTCTAATCCTATTTATCATCAGTTGACTGCAGCCATTTCGTATTCTCTGTCGGAAGGTTTAACGGATTAAGTGTATGTTTGTAGATAAGCCAGTAGATTCTTCGAAACTGATGTAATTTTGATAGACGATGTTTGTTGCTAAGTAAACGCTAAACGCGGCGGGATCTTAACAGCGAAAAACAAATGACACGATCTTGGCATTGTTTCAAAAGCTAAACACGATATTTGTTTCGTGAACTTCATTCTTCTTCGCTAAAAAAAAGTGTGATAATAATCAAGGATAGACGATAATTAGGCTGGACGTTTTCAGCGCTTCCATTCTTGCTTTATGTTTAATGAACGATAAAGACAGAATGATGATAAGCACTTAAAATATGTGATGACGAAAACTGAGAACGCAGCTTTACTATAGTTTTGATGAAATAATTTCAATCTAATGTGTTTGATTAATACGTATAATCAAATCCAAACACTAACTTGTTTTCTACCATCTTATATACTTTTCTTATTACCATCACATTTATTACTATTATATTGTTATTATTATATTTAATAGTTATTAGTATGGCATCACAATTTGCTAAACAAAATATTTTTTTATGGCTATTATCGGACTTTTCAGCATTCGATGTTTCTTACATGTTTTTGATCAATGTTTGTGAATCGCATGAATTGTTCTTTGTCTTAATTTCAAGCCTGCGAAATGTCTATTCGAGAAATAGGATTTGCTGGTTTTTTTTAAATTGACAATAACTTTTGCGGAACAGCCTTTTTTTTTCATTAATTAATTATATGCTTGATCGTGCAAACAATTGCCAATGTAACCGCAAAGATCGGTCCTGAAGTCGAAGTCTCTTTGTCCCTATTCGCCTGTAATTATCAAGCTGATAAAATAATCAGTGGAGATTTCGAGGTAAATGATTTTTTTAAATTAGATATTATGTACACCACACACATCATTTGATTCAATCTCAGATTAATTTGACAAATTTTAAAATAATAAGGAGGAATCTCTTTTACATTTTAATATTTCGTTTTCTATATCTAAATCTCTCACGTGTGAAAGTTCAAAAAGTGCGGGGCCAACTTCGCACACATAAATCTCTCGAGCACAATTCCGACGTGTGAGAAACGATGTTTTAATCGAGCGTTAAGCGGCGGTGGACGACTGTCTGATTCCAGGGATCTGTGTGTGTTTGGAATGAAAAGTAAAATATATTAACTTCCAAAATAGCAACCATTCAAGGAACGTGACTGAAAAGTCAGTTACAAAAGCCTGGAGAGGGGGCATCGGATTTGCGCATGCATTCTTTCGCTTGATTCTCTTTTGCGGTCGCATATTCTCGTCTCTCTCGTGAATACTCAATTTATATTTCTCGAAAATGCATTTAAACCGACATACAGCATATTGGCCTTGCGGCGTTCCGATTATTTTCCTTCTTTTCGACATTCAGCAGCGTTCTTTCGCGTAGAGAGGTGCAGATAGGTGGTAATCTGTCGCGAAGTTTAGTATGGCACAAAAATATCGATTGCGAGGTTGAATTCGAAGCGCGGTTTATCTTCTTTCTGCGTTTGTGTATATGAGGCCGCGTGGCGAAATCTCGATGCACCGGTACTAAATAAATATTTGTTCTATCGCTTTTTAGCGTCCGAAAGAGAGAAAAAGAGAAAGGAACGTATTTTTGCGTACCTTTTCTTTTTTTTTTCCAGATAGCTCAATGCTCTATATCAATAATCTTAAAGAACGCTCTCGGATCCGATTTGACTTTTTCGACTCCAAGGGTATAATGAGCAGAAACGCATATCAATCCACAAGGTGAACCACCGCTTCTTCGAGGCACTACATTTTTACTTTTCAGATTATATTTTTAACTCGTAACAGGAACACATTTTTGTAGCCCGAAATAAAATATATTCGTTGTTGGGATTCACTAGAGTTTTTTCGTTATTAGTTTTAGCAAGATTTACAATTTTTCAACTGTACAAAAAAATTGTAACACTTGAACTATAATTACAACTATAATTAACCCTCATGAATAAAATAAAAGACTGTAGAAAAAAAGTTTGTGAAACATAATATTATATCAAATTATTATACTATTTAAAGATTAGGGAAATGTCCCAGCAGCACTTATAGGATTTACATATTTCAGTTACAGATTAAATCGTAAAGATAGAAAAATATTATTCTATTGTTGAGAAAAGTGATCATTTTCAATTTACTTTTTAAGATTGTTTTTAATAAAAAATATTTTTTGATACTAATATTAAAACATACTTATTACAAATTTTAAAAAATTCATATTTAAATCAAGAATTTTTTTGAAAAATATTATGAAAAAATATTTTTTTTTTTGAAAAATATAAAATTGATCGAAGAAGCGACTTTACGCAAATTGAATTTATTTTCATTTGATAAACTTGATTGAAGTATTAAACTTACTAGGATTCAGAATACATTTTTTGATGCTCGTGATGAATTTGCGGTAAAATTGCGAATATATATGAACTTTTGAAACGTTTGAAACAAGTAATTATTATTTCTGTAAAGTGTGTATTTTTCTATATACGTAGAGCCAAAAGAAAGTGGTAAATCATTCATATCAGCTATACGAACTGTGTCTAAGAAGTCTTTCAGTGCTAGACCCCCCTCCCCCTCCCCCCCGCCCCACCGGATGAATTTAGAATTCATTTTGAAATCACCGTTATCAGCTTCATTAATCTTGTCCCCAATTGTTCTCCACGGGATTTCGCGGCCTAGAATACACCGCGTGGCTATTTTACTGAATTCCAAACGTGTCGGATATATCATGACGAAGCGTTGGTTCGCTCCAGCTTTTCCTCTCTTTTCCTTTTCTCACCATCGCTCATACGATGCGTTTGCTTTTTAAACTCGTTGCCGATTCCGAGGAGGAATTTCGGTTGTTGCGTAATGTCCGAAAGTCACAGAGAGAGAGAGAGGAGTGTGTGAAACAAAATTATTTTCGCAACGCGAAGCCCGGGTATGTCGCCATCTATCGAGGCCGCGAATAAATGGCACGCGAAGTTTTGTCAACTTCTGCCGGGATGACATGAGTCTCTCGTTCATGCTGGTCTGTTTATTCGATACCACAGCGTGGCTTCTCTCTCTCTTTCTCTAATATACCTCGTCCCTCCCCATACTATCTCCCCCCTTTTTGCCCAACCCGTCAGCCACCATCGTTCCGTTGCTGTTTCGGTAGTTGCGATCATGCTGATGCACAGTGGCTCTCATTTTTTTGCCCTTGCCTATAAATCTTCCCGTTCGTTCATCCCGCTACGCGTAATACACGTGCGTAAGTCACGGTGGGAAAAAAAAGACAGTCGTTCGTTTTTCCTTTTTTTCTTTCTTAACGCGACAACGGAAATGGAATCGGGCGTGACATACGTTGACATTGATAAGGGGCGCTTTCTATTTAACTTTGGTCACAAATGATTTACAAGTGATGCGCTATTGTTTCTACGCACGACGTCCGATCGGTTTGATACTTGACAATTTTTAATTATAGAATTGCGCGCGTGAAGAAATCACCAAAAACTACGCCAAAAATCCAATTTTCATTTTTGACGAGTTTCGATGATTTCGGTCGATACGCGTTATCGAATAATTGAGTTATATCGCTCGATTTAATCCCTTTCAAACATATTTATATTCCAATATTTCATTTCAAATATAGTATATATACAGGAATGCGTGTAAGATTGATTGACAGATTTATGACTTGTTAATTCTGGAAACGTCGGAAATTTCAATATCGCGTTTTTTCTGCTAACACATTTTCTTAACAGACTTTTACAATATAAATATTTAAATTATTTAAATTCTCGCAATTATACGTATAGCATTCGTATTTTTTTCCCGAGATTTTAACAGATTTCAATAATTCAGAAAAGCATCGCGCCATATTTACGGTACCCCAAGATCTGTTCGGTTCGTCGAGGTGGACACTTGCGTGAGGATATGTCTTCTTCGTGCGATGTTTCTCGGACTCTCGGTCCACACGACCGTCGAGACACCGCGTGCCGCGAGAGAGCCCGGATTAGGGAACCCCTGCTGCGCGGCATTAACGGTACGTATTCTCGGATGGACGCGCGCGGCGCGGCGCGGCGCCCGCCAAGGCCAAACGAAAGTTCGCTCCGAAACCAAATCCGACGGAATTTTTTATCTGTAGTACGTACTTATCGGGGACGCCCAGGTCTAGCTGCTTGTTTTCGCTCGCGCTATTATCGATGATGAACTTGAGGTGACCTCGAAAACTGCGCAACACAGCGTAGGCAATGAGGTGGCGGTGGCGCGGAGGGGGGGAGGAGGACGAGGAGGAGGACGTGACAAGTCAGCGCGGAGGGAAGACGAGCAGTTAAAGAAATGGCGAGGCAATTCGTGGAGGGGGAGGGGAGAAAGGCGAGTGACAGAGAGAGAGAGAGAGAACGTTTGAAGGGAGACGGGTGGAGGAGGGGGGGGAGCATCGGTCGTCATCACCGTGGTCCACGATCTTTCGAACGAATCTTCCAAACAAAGCTGTTTCCCTTTTCCTCGTAGGTTCATTGATCAGGACACCACATCGATCACAATAATACGCGATACGAAAGAGCAACGTCATGCTGTAGTGCGACGAAGATATCGCGATCGTAAAAGAGAGAGAGAGAGAGAGAGAGAAAGGAAATCGACGATCGCGCGCGGCATGGAGACGATTATGTCTCTGCATAGACTTTCCTTGATTGTTATCGACGATTATCTATTCGGATACGCGCGTTCCTTTATCTGAGATTTTTATTGCGGATATGCTCGAGAATATGTGCAAGCGATACAATCTATTCTGTCGCGGGTTACGATGACCTTCTCTTGCTAGTATCGCTAATATCTAGTCGAAAGCGAGAAATAACCGCGGAACGACCGGAGAATAAAGAATGTATCATGATATGTCTTTATCGATACAAGTAATTGTAATTCTCGCTTAATAATATACATCTACTGCATATATATATAATATTGTTTTAACGATTCTATAACCGTATTGTTTATCTTTAAAAAAATATTGCAATATCGCTATTACCCGGTTGACCTCCGCGTTGTACTCCGAATCGAACGATCGCGCGTGCGTTATTACCGAAATGATAGAATTTAATGAGACGTTTATGTAACCGAATATGTACCTTAAGTCGCTTTTCGAAATCTCTCTCTCTCTCTCTCTCTCTCTCTCACTCTCTCGCGTATAATCTGGAGAAGATTAGCGCGGAGAGGCGGAGAGCAAGAAGTACAACTGGCTTATATCGCGAGAGCTGCTGTTTGCGCCTGTTAGAGAAACCAACGAGTGCTCCTTGCTAAGAATAGCGATGCACAATCTACATGAGAAAACTTCTCGAGTCGCTTTGTGCGATGTCTCTTGCGCGTCGTAAAACACGTGCTCTCTCCGAACGGGTTTGGCGGAGAATATGCGGCCGCTGTGCGTTGCGTGGACAACTCCGCCAGAGCCTGCAGCCTCCCTTCGTTTCCTCGGGCGAGCGTAGAGAAAAAGGGGGGGTTGCTTGTCTATCGGCATAATGCTTACCTATTTGCCCATCCTCTCCATCGCCGGGGATACGGATATGTTGTGCGGAGCGCGAGAAAACGGGTTATCTTTCGTTTTGATGATATTCTCGAGCGCGCGTTTTATGCAAGCTGAGATGACGGAAAAAAAAAAAGTGTTTCGTATGCGTATTCAAGTGTAACGTT